CTCATACTTCCCTTTCTAAGGAAGAAATTCTTCAAAATCACCTGTCAGTTTTGAATACCCTAACAAAAAATACTATAGTTAACTATAGTTTACTATGGTTAAACTATAGTAAATCAAAGTGTCAAAGTTTTCGCCAAAGTTTTTCAAAGTGTCAAAGTTTTCGCCAAAGTTTTTCGCCAAAGTTTTTCAAAGTGTCAAAGTTTTCGCCAAAGTTTTTCAAAGTGTCAAAGTTTTCGCCAAAGTTTTTCAAAGTGTCAAAGTTTTGGTCAAAGTTTTTCAAAGTGTCAAAGTTTTCGCCAAAGTTTTTCAAAGTGTCAAAGTTTTGGTCAAAGTTCTTCAAAGTGTCAAAGTTTTGGTCAAAGTTTTTCAAAGTGTCAAAGTTTTGGTCAAAGTTTTTCAAAGTGTCAAAGTTTTCGCCAAAGTTTTTCAAAGTGTCAAAGTTTTGGTCAAAGTTCTTCAAAGTGTCAAATTTTTTGCTAAAGTTTTTTTAAGTTTCAAAGTTTTTGATAAAGTTTTTTGAAGTGTCATAGTTTACGATAAAGTTTTTCAAATTATCAAAGTTTTCGATAAAGTTTTTCGAAGTGTCATATTTTACGATAAAGTTTTCCTAAGTATCAAATTTTTTGATAAAGTTTTTTAAAGTGTCAAAGTTTTCATCAAAGTTTTTCAAAGTGTCAAAGTTTTCGCCAAAGGTTTTCAAAGTTTCAAAGTTTTTGATAAAGTTTTCAAGTGTCAAAGTTTTCGAAAAAATTTTCAAGTTTCAAAGTTTTCGATAAAGTTTTTTAAAGTATCAAAGTTTTTGATAAACTTTTTCAAAGTGTCAAAGTTAGCTATAAAGTTTTTCAAAGTATCAAAGTTTTCGATAAAGTTTTTCAAAGTGTCATATTTTTCGATAAAGTTTTTCAAAGTGTCAAATTTTTTTATAAAGTTTTTGAAGTGTCATAGTTTTCGATAAAGTTTTTCTAAGTATCAAACTTTTCGATTAAGTTTTTCAAGTTTTCAAAGTTTTCAATAAAGTTTTTTAAAGAATCAAAGTTTTCGGTAAACTTTTTCAAAGTGTCAAAGTTTACGATAAACTTTTTCTAAGTATCAATGTTTTCAACTAAGTTTTTCAAAGTGTCAAAGTTTTAGATAATGTTTTTCAAAGTGTCAAATTTTTTCGCCATAGTTTTTCAAAGTGTCAAAGTTTTTGTAAAAGTTTTTCAAAGTGTCAAAGTTTTCGCCAAAGTTTTTCAAAGTGTCAAAGTTTTCGTCAAAGTTTTTCAAAGTGTCAAAGTTTTCGCCAAAGTTTTTCAAAGTGTCAAAGTTATCAATATAGTAAATCAAAGTTTTCAAAGTGTCAAAATTATCACTATAGTTAACTAAAGTTAACTATAGTTAACTATAGTTTACTATAGTATTTTTTCGTTAGGGATACTTTTAATATTCCACAGAGCCAAAATGAATTTGAAATACGCTATATGTATTGGATTCCGAAACTTCATAAGAATCCTTACAAACAAACATATATTGCAGGTTCCAGTAAATGTTCAACCAAGCCTCTTTCGTTACTCCTCACTAAGATACTGACAGTGGTGAAGGAAAAACTTCAAGAGTACTGTGCAACTATATATTCAAGAAGTGGTGTGCATCAGATGTGGATACTTAAAAATTCTAAAGAACTTTTGGACAATTTGAAATCATAAGACCTTACAAAAATCAACAGCTTAAAAACTTACGACTTTCCAACTTTATACACAACAATTCCTCACGACAAATTAAAATCCAGCTTTTTGATATCATTGACAGTTGCTTCTTCAATAAAAATGGAACTCGTAAATTTACTTACCTCGTCATTGGTCATTTGCAAAATTGTTTTGTTAAAACAGATTCTGATTGCACACATAAGTACTCTGAAGTTGACATCAAGAAGATGCTTGAGTTTCTGATTGACACTATCTTTGTGGTTTTTGGAAACCAGGTGTTCCAACAATCTATTGGAATTCCCATGGGTACAAATTGCGCTCGGTTATTAGCAGACTTATTTTTATATTCATATGAAGCAGAATTTATGCAAAATCTTATGCATGAAAAGAAGAAAACACTTGCTGTGGCCTTCAACTCGACATTTAGATATACCGACGACGTATTGTCAATTAATAATGATAATTTCCATTCCTACGTCGATACGCTATATCCTGGTGAGCTTGACATAAAAGATACCACATAATCCGACTCTTCTGCTTCATATTTGGATATTTTACTTGAATAAGACACGTCAACTTCCCTTACTTATGCAGCAATATACCTTCATCACCTGCGTACGGAGTGTATATATCTCAATTGATTCGATACGCAAGAGCATGCTCTACGTATGAACAATTTTTAAGACAAGGTAAATTATTGACAAGCAAGTTGATGAAACAAGAATATCAGCAGTCTTGTTTAAAGTCATCATTTCGTAAGTTCTATGGTCGATACAATGACCTTGTCAGCAAATGCAATTTATCATTGCGTCAAATGCTGACTGACGTTTTACATACCAATTGTTAGTCCATTATTTATACACTGAATTGACGACGGATTTTTTCCGTTATTTCCCGATCATGACAACGGGTGTGACCGGTCGTCAGGGGATGCTCACTCGTCCATGGCACCTGATCGCACCTCTGATGTTTCGGAGGTCGGTGTTTGCTCTGCTCTGATTTTGTATATTGTAAAATGGACTTTGAGATTGAATACTGTTTCTTATCTCCATATCCTTCTGAGAGAAGGTGCTAAGTTAAACATAGATTTCTCGCAGGAGAACATCCAAATTATTGTAAAGATTAAATAGTCCGTGCAAAAGTATATATACCAGGACTCACACATGCGTACATAACTACATGTACCACACCCCATACATACTGGTTCTACCACTCACACACAGGATAATAATATCCCACAAGACAATCACATGACGACCAAATACTCACTTTACAAGGAACACCGTACAAACAAGAATACAAACACGATGACAATGAATGAATGAATGAATGAATGAATGGAATTTACTACAGCTGTCTACTACACTAACTTAATATACTAGCTGTACTAAGTACATGTAATTATACTAAATAATAAAAACAAGTAATTGTCACCCTAGCCTTTGACACTTTAATCCATAAAGTTAAAAAAAAAACTAAACGATATAGGCCTAAATTGATTGTGTTGATAACGTTGATCGTTTGTTACGTCACTATGACGTAGATCGCTTATGACCAAACAATCAATTTATGGTCACATGACGAACATGTTTACGGAGATGTAAATACGCCTTGTTCAAATTCAATTATATTACGGAAAACATTTGCAAATACAAATATGTACATTTGTTTGCACACATCGTTGCAATTATGTACGGCAGCGTATTAGTGCCACTTAGACACTTTACTTTTCTTTTTATTTCTACACTTAAAGTGTAAATAATACAGATTAAAGTGTAAATTTTACAGATTAAAATGTTAATTTTACAGATAAAAGTGTAAAATGTACAGATTTAACTGTAAATTCTACACTTTAAAGTGTAAATTTCAAACTTTCAAGCGTATATTTTACACTAAAACGTTTAAATTTTGCTGATTAAAGTGTAAATTTTACAGATTAGGGTGTAAGATTTGCAGATTTAAGTGTAAATTTTATTTTACACTTTAAAGTGTAAATTTTACACTGTAAAGTGTAAATTCCACAGTTTAAAGTGTAAATTTTACAAGTTAAATATAAAATTTACAGATCAAAGTGCAAAACATACATATTAATCAAGTGTAAATTTTACAGATTAAAGTGTAGAAATAAAAAAAATGTCAACGTGGCACTCATATGCTTCCAAAGTTATGAGACTATTCCTAAAAAATAATGATTCATTCTTTATTGTTATAAACAACTGGATTTAAATGAAACATCCCTCAATCACTTTCGAAATGTTAGCATCTTACTCCACTCTAATTGATATCGCCTTTAAGAAGCTCTATTAACATGCAAACAGGTGAAGACGGTAAATGACAACTTTAGAAAGAATAAGAATATCTTTAAAAATAATTTAATGCCTGTCTAAGATGAAAAGATGAAATCTAAGTCCAAGTTAGCAAATGTTTTGTGGATAAATCCGAACACACAATGACAATGATTACATTTTACATGTACAATCAATGTTTTTTGGGGAGTTTTTGAGTCGAAGTCTAACTGCATGTCCGGCTTTTTCCCTGATAACCCATAAAGACTCTCTGTGTAGCTTGTTTACCTCAAATACGTTACAAATTTCAAAATTGAAGGACCTTAAGGTGATTCTATGATGCCTGGCAATGCTATATACCTCTTATTAATCAAACTTTTAGGACACACTAGTTAAATATTATATATTTGTTAATATTTCTTTGGAAAACACAAAAATGTTCATTGTTTGAAATCTATTAAAACTACTGATAATGAATATGTTTTTTTGACCGAGAACTTATGATGGATCAATGAATTAAAATGAAAAAAAGTTATTGAACAATCTTATTCAGAGAACTTGTGTCCTCCGCTAACGGGAAAAAAGAGCATGCGCGGATTAAGAGGGGAAAGAGAGAGAGGGGCGGGGGCTTAAAGGGGACGTGCAGAGCCATAGGGAGCTGTGGTATAAACATCATTACAAATGCTCAAAAGCTTTGTGAGAGATCGTTCGCAAATGAGATTTTCACTGTCAAACAGAATGTATAAATTCATAACCTTGATTTTTGGACTTTATGTGTTACATATGTAAAGCTGAAAGGATTCTGGAGATATTGCGTGTAAAGAAATTGTTACAAACGGAAATACAGCTAGATGAATTCAAACTGATATTTCAACTTTCAGTGAAAAATTGGAACAAAAATTAAAAGATCTTTTGGAAAAGTTTTTTTTTTCATGAAGCTGTATTTTGTAATATTTGGTGTCAATAAATCATTGCAATATTTCGTTAAATGCAAGCAATTACCTAAAGCACAACTGTATTTTTTTTTCAGAGTGAAATAGAACAACTGCATGGTACTGAATGTGATTGCCAGTATTTTCAATTTCCTATTGTGACTCTTTTTTGTTTGAATTTTGTATCCGTAATTAAAGCATTTGAGATCATGTGTTTTTGTATTTTAGTATAATTGCACTAATAAGCGGAGGGAGCGAAGATTAGTCTGCACAAATTACGAAAAGGGGCAAAGTAAATGTCGCACATTGTTTAAAGATATAGCATATTCATTTCTCACAACGATTTCATATTGAATATGTACATTTTAATACAAAGAAAAATCTTTTATAAACCATTCCTTCTTTATTGTTGATGAACATTGAACTCATTAACATTTCAGCATCTTGAGATCTCCAGGTAAAGCCTATGTCGAAAAAGTCGTTGTCACAATGTTTTCAAGCTTATCAAACTGATTTATTAGCACTCGCTTTTCTTAAGGGGGCGACTGGGGATTTCATTGAGCAATATTTCGTGCATCATAGTAAAATGAAATGTGTTTACATTTTAAAAGAAACTTTTCTACTTAATTAATAAAATTAAACAAAATTTAGATAGGTAGATTTACGTCGTTATAGTGTGTTTTGACGTTATGATAACCCGAGTCTTTTGAAGAAGGGGTAATAAAAATGTTATTGACGGAAAAGTAAAAAGTATAAAGAAAAAGAAAAGAAATAAACATACGTCTTTTGAATTTTAAATATAGAAATTTGAATATCTCTAAAGTATACAGGTACTTTAAATTTATGTTTTCATATAAATTCTTTGTGCCAATCATATTTTGTAGTACCCTATAAAACAGGAAAAATCGATGTTTTGACATCTCGCCCCTACTGGTACATGTAACAAGACTGTGGAATTTTTTGTTTCTTACATATAATGAACAGTGTAGTATTACTCATTATATATTACACTGTATAGTTTGAACAAAAGTTAATCATTGTAGCATTAGAATAGTTTGCCTTCAAGTGCTAAAATTTGCACTTTTCTTTATAACCCTATGAAAAATGTATGTGTATTTTAAGACTGTCCCCTAAGAATACATGGATATTCAGACAAAGTCATTTTTCAGCTTGACTATGCATGAGTCTACATGTCATTGTAAATGATTCTTGAATTAAAGAAATTTAACTATTTTTTTTTAAACCGTAAGTATCTTAGAATTTACTTTTTTTTCAAAGAATTTCCTTTTAAAAATATACTAAAAAGAAACGCAGGGTAATCTTTTGAGGTGAATCAAATTTGTTTATATTGTTTTTTTTTTCAGTATTCCTAACTTACTTTTTTAAGAAAATATTTAAAGAAAATGTAACCAAAATCCAATTTGATTTTGTCTAATAATTTAGGAGTTATTGAAACTCATATGCCGATACCCCCAAAGTGAATTTCATTATCTTCAATGTCTTTACCGCGCATCTGCCAAAACCTTGATTCTCCTTTGCACGGATTTCATCAAAATGTTTTATCTATCAAACCCCGGGCACATTGGGTATGGATAACCAAACCAAAAAATAGTCAAACGATACGCTTACTCGCCAGTGAAAGAAACACAAATGTAAAATCCCAAACTGCACAATTGGTTTCAATGGTGGCATATTTATGCCATCTATATAACTTTTTGTTAACCTAGCACATAATGTCAAATCAAGATAACTATCTCGTCAGGTCATGATAAATTTCTGGGATGTCGACAACATCGATTTTGTATCTTGTCCATTCTAGATTAGCTATCACATTTGTTGCGATAGCTATCTTGACATGACAAGATAACTTATCTTGCATCATGAATAAAATATCTATCTAAAAATACCAGTGCTTATTTTGACTGGACAAGATACAATGTTGACGTTTGTCGACAAACCAGAAGGTTATCATGACTTGAAGAGATAGTTATCTTGATTTGAAATTACAGTGGGTGCAAAGTTAATGTTGACAAACCAATCGTGTAGAATCGTTCGTGTATCGTGCGTGATCGTTTGTGTAACGTGCGAGATCGTTGGAGGTTTTAATCGTGCGAGATCTTGCGTTTAGAAACGTGTAAATTTCGTTTTGTAAGTTTTTATCGGAATGTTATTTGTAAAACAAACATTTCACGTTTTTTTAAAATACAAATAAAATGAATGAAACGCAGTTTACATAATTGAACGCAGAACGAACTAATTATCGTTTCTAAACAAGCAATATTAGTAAGTCGTACATTATTATGTTCTCGTCAAATAGCGTGACTTATTTTGATAAATCGTATTTAGATGTTTAACGTCTTTTCTCTGATGTTCACTGCTAATTGTGGACAAGATATTTTTAAACTCAATACACCAGTAATAAATACATTTTTCCAAATAAATAAACATTTCTCAATTCTTACATAAATATTTAGTCGCCGAATGTACATGTACATGATTTTCTGGCTTTTGTTTATCGGTATTTGTCTCTGAAGCTGACGTTTAATAAATTTTCAAAATTTCTGCAGCTAAAAACAATTCTGAAATAAATGGCAAGCTCATTTTTAAAAATTCACAAACATTGAACCAATGGAATCATATGAGTATAAATTGTAATTTAAGTCAGTCCATGTTGCCATTTCTTTTTCAATCGTATCCCCCTTTCTGCATATTATGAAATTCAATTCAATAAAATCTTACGGTCCACTGACATGTACATAATCTGATAGAACAGGAAAAGCAGTCCTTTGAAGTAGGAGAATTACCTAAATAATTATTTATAATCTAAATTAATAAATAAATAAATAAGTCTTGCGTGTATTTAGTAGCAAAATATTATTTTTCTCTTTTATTTCTTTAATTTTCAAAGTCGATGATATAATATTCATAATTCTTTAAAATCTAAAATCAGCATTAAGCCGTATTTCGTTTTGAAATATCGATTCCTAAATATTTTGAACTATTTTGAGTGAAAAATCGTGCGTAAGCGTTAACAATCGTGTAAGATCGTGTAACGTGTAGAATCTTGTACGTGAAAGATCGTTCGTGTAACAGGTTTAATCGTGCGTTAATCGTGCGGAATCGTTCGTGTAACGTGATTGTTCGTGTAACTTGTCAACAATAATGTTCCAGCTACTGTATGTGCTATGTTAACAAAACGTTATATGGATGGCATGAATATGCCACCATAGGTTTCTTTCAGTTTTGGGGTGAACGTAATGATTATGATAGTCTACTTATTAACAGCGGTTTTGTGGTATCAAGGTTGTGATTAAACAGGTGACGGGATAAAAAAAAACAATCTTAATGTGACTCTGTTTTGTGTCAACGTCATCGCCACGGTTGGTTGAAAACCATGCATTCCAGGCCTTCTCTGACAACGAGGAACACGTTCTATGGGGTAAAAATTACAAGGCATTCCTCAGTAACCCGTTGGTGCATTTGTCCTTACTTAGGTAATTCGAAAACCACCCCCATGGTTCTTCCGTAAAGCGTACCAAGATTGCATGAAATTTATATTGTCTGTAAATATAAAAAAAAACAATGTATACGTCTGGTGCATCAAATGGTACAACTAAATTTGTTTACAAATCCGTCCTCATCAATTTGCCTGTGTTTAGGCTATTTAGCCTTTTTCCTAAGTGACGTCATACATTTTACGACTAAGTCATTCTGAACACTGATTTTGGTGAAAAGTAACTAACATTCTCATCTGACCAATTTTCGTAATTTTTGGTCAAGCGGTCAAAAAAAACTTCATGTATTATGTTACCCTGCGATTCTTTTTTCCTTTCAGTATACATAACTTAAAATTTATTTCATTAAGGACAGATGATACAAACAAATTTTTCCTTTGAAAAATGTTTAATAACATGTCATAAGTTTAGAAAAGTGGATGGTTCTTAGAATTTTTTTTTCCCTTAGCACTTGAAAATGATATAGACTTGGAAAATTTTAGTAATATTTCAATAAGAAAACAAATATGGACGAATCAAATTCAGTAAAGGTTTACAGGTGAAAACAAGTTCGAGAATATGTTATCATGGTGCTAAAAGTGTAATATAAACTTATTATAAGAATAATATACCAAGCCAGGTCAATTTAATTGCGAAAATCTAAATGGTAAAAATCAGCCTATGTGATATTGCTATTTTTTTGTTGTTGTCATTTTGTGTTTCCTCACAAAATTCACCTGGCTTGGTATATTTCTTAAAAGTTTATATTAAACTTTCAGCAACAAGGTTACATATTCTGAAATTTGTTTTCACCTGTAAACCTTTACTGAATGTGATATGTCTATATTTTTTTTTATTATTGAAATATTACTAATATTTTCCAAGTCTTTATCAAATTCCAGTTCTTTGGAGAACAAATTTTAAGAACCATCCACTTTTCTAAACTTATGACATGAAATCAAATATTTTTCAAAGAAAAAAAATTGTTTGTATCATATGTCCTTAATATTGATAATTTCTAACTTCTGAAATTAATATTTATTTAATAACGTGTCAATATGCATGTTTATTATCAGTTATACATGTACTTCATAGTATTTTATAAAAATTCTGATTCAAGGGGAATAACTTGTGAATTCCTCAAATAATATGTATTGATGTTTTATGATTTGTTATAATGTGAAATTACATTTGTTGTATCATGATTAAATAATTATGTATTGTATATTCAGGACTATTTTCTTGCATGGTGACTTCTTGAATAATCCAATATGTAAAACGAACCCGCAGGTGTTTTTGTGTATCAACAACCCCTGTAACAAAATGGCACCCACATTGAGACTGGTGATACATGGTCTGGTGATGCAGGCTAAAGTGGTGAAACAAATCCCCTAAGGAAAAAAGATGGACAAATCATGTGAAAAAAAGATTCATAAACTCTATCCAGACTTCGTTTAGAATCTATTCATCATCAAGTGTTTAACTTAAGAACATCTTCTTCAAGAATCTGCAGACTACCAATATAACTTGTTGAATAGGCAAGTATATTTTACATAATTTGTTATTATACATGTGTATGTGCACATTTTATTATCTGGTCAAGGTCAATGTAGTAAGCTGAAGATTAACGGCAGGTAAGGTGAAAAATCATGTCAGGTCTATAGTTTTCTAATGTTGGATATTTATGGTTTAGTCTA